GGAAACAATTTATTTGTGGACCAATGTTAATATTACTAAAACTTTGAAAATTATAACAATTTTTATAATTTTTTTTTTCTGGTTATTACTTGCCAAATGATGATCCAAAATAATATTAAATGTTTAACTTTTATAAAATGTAAAAATTAATTGGAAATGTTTTTTCTTTTGGAACTCATGATGAACTTTATTTCACAATTATTTTATTTTTTATTCTTTTTTTTTTGTCTTAAAGATTTTCTTTTGTTTCATTCTGATTTATGTTGTTTTCATTATTAGTTTTTCATATTATATTTTCTTTTTTTCTTTCAAGTGTTTTTTTTTATATTGATTCTATTTTCTTTTAACCTTTGGGTTTTTATTTCAGCCTAAGATTTCTTTATTTTCTGTTGAATTATTATTGAATATTGAGTTCTATTAAAAACATTGGTTCATATGAGAACAAATCAGATAGATTAAAATATTTTAATAAAAGATCTTTACAATTCTCCAAATGAATGTAAACTCACACTTCATTTGGATTTAACAGATTAACGGATTTCAGGATTAACGGCAATGTTGTAACTCTTTAATCTCTATTTGAAAATCCTCAATGGATTAAACTTTGAAGATAATACTTTAAAAAAAAATAAAAACCTGTTCTCCTTTTGCTCAAATTTAGGCTGTTATTTTTTTTTCTCCATCCACTTCCTAAATTGGAGGAGAAATTGAATCTGAAATTGTTGTTCCTTGAATTTTGTTGGTTTGATTTTTTTGCCTTTCACCTATTCAATGTCTGCAAATTGTTTAATAAATGTCCAAATAGATGCCACTTGGAAAAATCATTACAGCAACCTTCTGATTAGTAAAAATAGTCATCTTAGAAGACAGTCGACACAATTAATGGCTGACCTTTTTATTGTGTTCCTAAGGATTTCTATCTCTGAATATTTTTATTTTGGTATTTATTATCTTCACTTCCTTATGAATCTGATACAATAATTGTAGTTGCATGACAAATGTATGTTTCGCCTCCGTTATAGTTTCATTGAATGTTATTCTCTGAACAGATTGTTTGATACTCACAGCCAAAAAGATAGTCTATTGGACAGGTAGTGCCTGAAGCTTATTAAATTCTGTTTTTTTAATAAAAGCAAAAGATTGCATTTGAAGTAAACACACTTGAAGCTTTGTCCATGATTTAAAAAAAGAAAAAAAAAATCCCCAAATACCTGACGTCTTATTCTTTCTTTCTTTCGTTTTATTTTAAAATTTTTATTTTTGTGACAGACAGTGATTCCCCCAGCCCTTCTTCACCAAAAAGTGTGCTAGACATTTTCACCTTTTCTGGTATGTTTTACTTTGCACTTATGGTTGACAAATCACAACAGCACGCAGACACACACACACACACACACACACTGTGGTCACTTCCTGTGTTTCAAACAGTTTTTTCTTTTTTTTATTTTCCCCCACTTCCTTCCTGCCTCTTATTGTAGGCTTCACTTCCTAACCACTTGAATTTTAGACAGACTTCTCAAAACAGGATGAGCCATGCTCTGCCTGTCCAGTTCCCTATCAGAATCACATTAGCCTTAACACCACCTAGCTCTCCACCTCCTATTACTATTCACCCATGCACTGCACCAAAATTTTGTGTCGATCTGAAGTCAAGGGAAAAAAAAAATACTCTTACCATGTTATTTTCAAGTTTGATACATTGATTAATAAATGTTTGATTTTTCTGGAATTGCTGGGCCTTGTTACATTCTAACAAATCCCCGCTTTTCCCCAGTCCTTGCAGCATTGGAGAAACACTGATTTACAAACTTGAAAATGTTCAAACACTTCCTTTCCTATGAAAACTGTCATAGAAAATGTTAGTTTACTCATTTTGAAAATAATGCCATTTGTCAGTTGTTTTAATGAGATTAAAGAGATTTATCAAATTTTGATTTTAGTGCAAAGGCTCCAGTAATCAAAAATTTGTTTAATGCATCCTCTCCTTAATTAACCATATCTCAACTCTGCTTTCTGGATTCACTATTTATTGTAATATTATTAATGCATATAGTTAAAAAGTGCATAATGTTTGTCTTCAGCATTAATTGCCATTTTAATTGATTTTTGGATTTAAAATAAAGAAACTGATTGGATTTAATGTGGGGGCATGATGATCAGAGCCCCTACTCCATATTTTTTTTCTTTCTTCACACTCCTTTCATTAAAGTATTTAATATATATAAAGGTTATTTTTATAAAAAAAATCACATTTATTTAGAAAATTTTTAATATGCAGTTATGTTTTGCTGTTCATTTAATATAAATTGAATTTAGGTACTGAAGTTTCAACTGCAATGATTTCATTTATAGACAAGGTTTCAAGAGATGAAAGTGGTTGAGCCAGGTAATATTTAACTGCTATTGCTTAGAGTTTTTAAGGTGGGTTTTGACAATCATAGCTAGAAAATAAAAAGTAGGTTTCAAAAACAAAAAAAATCATCCTGTAATAATTTTTTAAAACTACTGTTTATAATGAATACTGTCAGTAAATTAATGAGATATTTTTTATCACTGAGTTTGCTTTAGAGGCTTGAAAACAAAGTCAGTTCTCAAATTTGATCTCCAAGTGTAGATCCTTGATTACTTATAAGAAGCAGCTTCATACCAATCCATAAAATAAAATGGAGATTTAAAATCTCTGAGAACTTTGGTCTTGAAAGTCATTTTACACCGAGTTGATAGTTTTTCCCTTGAATTAAAAAAAAAAAAAGTGTCATTGGTTTATTTTGTGCATTGGTGCTAAGTAGTTGCACTAGTTCAAGGCTGCACTTGTTGTTGTTCTTTGTTTCTGTTTATTTAATCTATTTGATGGACCCAAATTCAAAATGTCACTATTTATGAATCTTTAATGTTGTTGGTCCTTTTGTTTTGATTTTGTGACTTTTATCTCCAGCTGCTGCAAAACGTAAGTATATATGGATGAATATGGTAATACAGGACATTCTTCTTCTTTTGCCTGTGGGCCATTAATATGAACTAAGTAACAAATTTGCCTCTAATGATTTGAACTCATAACAACTTGAAAAAAAATAAACCTCCAAAAACAATCCAAAATTCTGATTGCAGCTATTGCTTCTTTCTTGCTGCTGCCATTGAAAAGGCATGACTCCAACCTTGCCTGTTGCCAATCCTCTTTAATCTGAGGATGTTGTCATTGAGAGATGTACAACTCTCCCTTACTCATAATCAAATATATACAAAGTATTAATGTTGTTTAGTGCAATGAGGAAGTACTCATTAACACTGCTGGCTTCTGTTGGAAATGCTGTATGATGTTGAGACACCACTTGGCTAGAGAACGGTTGTGTTCTGTTTTTTTTTTCTCCCTTCATCCTTTTGATGGCAGTATTTTGACCATAATGGTGCTGAGCCTTTTGAGTATTGATCTTCCATTAGAAAGGCTCATCAATCGGCAGTAGAGCTCAACAATTTAGCTACAGTGTTGTGAATGTTTTACTTTTTTGTTTTGTTGATTCTAATTTCAATTTCTTAAAGAGGCAATTAACTTGTTTGTCTAATCATTGATATTTTTTTCTTTGTATTGTGAACATGACCTTGTATGTTAATACGCAACATGAATGTCCAATCAGATATACATCTCTTATTTTTCAAATATATGAATTTTGTCTATATCGGTGGTGAAGAGTGAATTTGAAATTGGGGCATGCAGTTCATGATGACCATTAATGGTTAAGAGAGAAATATGAGAAAATTAGAAAACCAACAAATGACGGTGTATTTCAAATTTATTTATTTTTAAATTAATTCAATTCTTTGTTTTGTTTTGGAAAATTCGTTGATCACTTTAACATAAAAAGTATCAGAACTGTTTTCTAACTTTTTCTAAAGGTTTTTATTCATGGAAATGAAAACCAATTTACTCAGTCTAACTTCATGTTGAGAAAAATAGCGGCAGTTAACTCCACTTTTTTTTATTTTAACCTTGTTCACTCCACCTCCTTTCACAAGTTTCTACATTCTCTCTTGTGCATACAACTGGTGCAGGACTGGTATATGGAAGCAGGGGTCTTTTCTGCTTACACTACTCTGCTAATGTCCATTGTTCAGAATTTATCCTAATAAAGAAAGGAATGGAAGATTTTTAAAATGATGACTACTACAAAAAGGATGAAATGAATTTTTTATTATACAAAAGTTGTTTAACCTGGAAAAAATCTAAGACATGAAATGTATGCATCTGTGATATATATATATATATATATATATATATATATATATATATAATGTCTGTGAAAATTGTTATAAAATAATGTAGGCAATGTTTAAGATTTGAAAAAGTATCAGAATGTACACACATAGTAGGGAAGTCTATTGCTATAACTTATAATTGATAGCCGCATATGCTGAACAAGCAGAATACCAAGTAGTAGAATATGAAATTATATTCTTTAGCCTCTCTTGGGGCACATCTACTGTGTCAAGTATTCAAAGTTATGAACACACACAAATGCCTGGTCAACATGAGGCTACCCTTACTTTTTATTTATTTATTTATTTTCAAAGGTAGCAGTAATCTCTCTCTCTCTCTCTCATCATCAAATGACATGCAGGAATCATAACCAGTAATAAGTTTCTACTTGATGCAGACAAAATAGATCCATAATTGATATTGAAATGTTGATAAAATAAATATTTCTTTTCCCTGTTAAATGACTTGATTTCTGCCCTTGGATGGAACTTAAATTCATAATCCTTTTTTTTTTTGTTTTTTGTTTTTTGTTTTTTAAACATTGCGAATTTGATTTGTAGTGTGTATATTAAAACTTTCTCCATTTAAGAGCAAAATGTTTTGACTAATTCAAAGGCTCTTGAATCTTCTATCCCACCCCTCTCTTTGCTTTAGCATTTTGAACAGTCTTTTACTTTTATTATGTGCTATGGATTTACTGACTGATAATGTTGCTGCCAAATACATTTGTTCCTAATATCTTTGTTAGGGTTCCTGAAATCGAAAAGGGACAAAAAGAAAGAAAATAAAAAGAAGAAAAAACGAGATAAAGATGAAAATTTGTAAGTCTTCCTATTTGTTTTACTCTTTTTGAACAAATGACTCCTCTCCACTTTCTCTTTGCCTTTCTTTCTTTCTTTTGTAAGCCCATGTGGCATCATTTCATGGAAATGTCGATATTCTCTGATCAGAAGAATCTCAATAAAAAGGATAGATTAATCAGAAGTTCTTGGATTCTTGAGTCATTTAGTGCCTGTTAGATTCCTGCAAGTTTTGTAATATGTTGACTTTAAATTTGACTTTTGAACTGGAATATTCATTTGTTTGTTTTAGGAACAAAGCAATTTCCAAAAGCCAGCTCAAGATTATCATGTGGAGTTATGATAAATGAGATTTTTGGGTTAGTTTGTTGGATAAGTTTAACTCTGTTGGTGCCTTTTTTTTTTTTTTTTTTTTTTTTTTGCAGGAATCAAAGTTGATGTCTGTTATGGAAAATGGATTTTGTTAAAATAGTGAAGGAAGCACAAGATACTTTTATTTATTTATTTTTTTTAATCAAAATCACCCCAAGCAAGGCAGTAATGCCACTAAAACACAAGGGGTTACAGGTTGTGGAAGAATTAGGAACAGAAACATTAATGATGAGCAGAAAGAGAAGAGAGTAATCAGGTGGACAGTTGATAGCAATTGACATTGCATTTAAATTTTTGCAGATTAAAGTTGGTTAGAAAGCATGGAATCGGAAGGGAGTTCCACAAGCGAGATGTATGAGAGAAGAAACTGTTAGCATAGAATTTACAGCTACATCTAATCAACTCAACTGTAAATTGATGAGATCTCAACGCCAGTCTCGTGCTGCACTTAAATTAAAAAACTCTAGGTACCATAGTGAAGAGCTCATTCGAACAATTAGCATGAAAGTATTTATGGAAAAGACATAGAGAGGCAACCTTATGGCGGCTGGAGCTGAGCCACCAGATCAGGACCAATAATATTGCAGATTCTTCTTTGGATCTTATCAAGGAACTCAAGTTAAATAGTAGGGGCACTGGACGATATGTGGCAGTAATATTCTAAGCATGGATGAATAGTAGACTTATACATATATAAGATAGATTCTGGAAAGAAAAATTGTCTTGCCCGACATAGTGAACCGATTTTCTTAGCAGCTGACTTTACAATGGATTCAATATAGTCTTTCCATTTCATATCAGCAGAGAATGTGAGCTCAAGGAAAGTATCATTGGTATAACAACTCTAAAATAGACTTTGTGAAAATTTGGATTTTGTCTGCACCTGTTAATCATAAAGGTGTTGTTCATTGCAGACAATCAAGATTTCTACTTATTCTTTTTTTTTTCTTTTCTTTTAATTTGGATTCTTTGATGGTTTTGTTTTTTAATGGAAGTGGGGATGGTGCCAGATGATGTCAATTGAGAGCTGTAAGTTATACTGTTTTGAATTGTTCATTTACATTTTGGGAATATTAAACATTTGTCTGTTTTCTTTTCAGAGAAACAGATAGCAGTAATGGAGTAAGTATTATGAAACTCTGTTTTTTTTCCTTCTCTTTTCTGTTTGAGTGGGAGCTATTTGTATGCAAGCATTGGTTACTTATTCAAATGGAAATTGTGAAAGGTGTACAGGCATATTGAATTGGTTGCCATTCCATTGTGCTAACTGTTGACTTATATATCTATGTTTGTGTATATGCACTTATGCAAATGTGACTGTGCCCATCCTGATTTTGATTCACTTTTCAACTTGCTTCCCTTTGGTCACTCACTTTGTGGTTTTGATAACATGAAAATTGGATTTTACAAACATATGCCCTTCTTGGTAAAATGTTCATTTTAATGCTTGCGAACGAATGTTCTTTCCATTAAAAAGAGTCAAAGCTGCCTACTACCTCCCAATCAGTAGTCTGTGCAAGATTAACGTAAAATTATTTGATTAAAAAGAAATTAATGAAAATTGGATTTTCTGGGGTTTTTTTTTTTGCCATTTTTGGATGGTGATTATTGGGCTTCTATTTCCCTTTACAGCAGACTGTGCCAGATGTGGATGATGAAGGTTATAGTCGACAGCCAGAAACTTTATTTGATGATATCCTTATTGAGATGAATTCTGTCAAATGAGGAGGAGGAGGAGGAGGATTTTTTTGTTTGTTGATATTTCTTATGATTATTTTGAAATCTATTTAACTGTTTGAATGAAAATTTGTTTTTTATCTTCATTTTTTTTTCCGTTGAAATTTCCTTAATATATCTTATTGAATGGTGATAAGACGAGTTGGAATTCCAGTGAAAGTGATAGTGATTCAGGTAAGCTGGGCAGTTTGAGAAGGAAGACTATGTGATGGTTTGACTGGTATGGTTATGAATGGAGCTATAATGTGTGTCAGTGTTTACAGTCATCTTCTGATGTGTGCTGTTCTGGCTGGTATGTTGACCGATGATCTGCATGGTGATGTCTGTGAGAGCATGCAGGTTGGGTCCCAAAAACTGTTGTATGTACTAAGCTTGTAATATTTTTCTCTCTCTCACACATCAGAAGGAGATCCAGATGTAAAAAAAAAAATCAAGGTTGCAATCCGCCCACTGAGCCCAAATGGGACGCCGACAGGAACCGTGGAAGACATCAGAGCCTCCATTGAAGGATTACGACTATCGCCCACAGTCACACATGTAAGTCTGTTGTAATTGATTTGATGCTTTATCTCTTTGTTTCTCAAAGGCAAGCAATAATTTAAGTGGCTCCAATTTTGAATGTCATTTATTTTTTCTTTTACAGTTATATAAAGAAAAATCCTTAAAGATCTTATTTCAGTAAAAAATTAATGCAATATCAAATTCATCCTGAACCGTACCAAAAATAATTCCATCAGCAATGGTAATTAAGAATTATTTTTCTTCTTGATGATCCATACAAAAAATAATCCAACAGTTGTTAAAAAGAAAAAAAAAATTCTTTTAAGGTAATTAGTAGTTCAGGCAAAAATTTAATGTGTATAGTCACTCAGACATTAATATGCATTAATAGACATTTTATGCGTATTTCTATGGAATTTACTGATATTCTAAATTTCTCTTTTTTTCAGCGGAAACGTAGTCAGACGCCTATAGACAAAAAGATGAAACGATCACAGTCAGAATCCGACACACTTGAGTAAGTACTAGTGTGTATATGTATGTATGTGTGTCTATATATATATATATATATATAATATAAAAGCATGGCTGAGTGGTTAATCTTCACTTCCTATAAGACCTATGTTTGTATCTCACAATAGTTGATTTGTCGGGAAGGTGACTTTTTGGTGTTATCGATGTGGTGAGATGATCACAATGTGCAACATCTTTGGAAAGTGGCTGAAAACCATACCAAGCGTTTGACTGAAGCCTTGTGATTGAAACTGGGTAGATGGAACTATTTGAAAACCATTGATAGTTGTGCTAGCACGAAATCACCATTCATCATGACTGAAAGTTTGAGCGTATTAGGGTCGCTCAAACTGCTAATCATAACAGATTATGTGCTCCTTCCCAAAACTGTAACTAAGGTCCTCTTAGCATAGTTCCAGTATAAACCAAAGGTGGGCTCTGTGGGTGTTGAACAAACATAAACAGGGATTGACTAGCTACTCTAACAGATGGGTGTGTTTAGAAAACTAGAGTGTCTGCTCATTTTAAATATATATATATATATATATATATATATATATAGATTTTTTTTTTTTTTTTTTTTTTTTTAATCAGTATCACCCCATGCAATGCAGTAAAGTCGCTAAGACACAAAGGGTTACAGGGTGTGGAAGAATTAGGAACAGAAACGTTAATAATGGATGACAAGGGGAAAGAGTAATCAGAACAGTAAATAGTGATTGACATTGCATTTAAATTTTTGCAGCTTTAAGTTTTCTGGAAAGCATGGCGCAAGAAGTGTGAGAAAAGAAACTGTTAGTATAGACTTTAAAAAGTCTAGCTACCATAGTGAAGAGTTCATCTGAACACTTACCATAAAAGTATTTATAGAAAAGATATAGAAAGGCAACCTTATGGTGGCAGGAAAGTGACAGAAGCCAAGCTGTCAAATTAAGACTGATAATATTGCTGATTCTTCTTTGGATTTTATGGAGGAGCTCAATATAAATACCAGGGGCACCAGACCATATGTGGCAGCAATATTCAAAACATGGATTTAACAGAGGTGCTTGTGTGTGTATATATATATATATATATATATATATATATATATGCATGCATGCACTAGCAACTCTCTTAAATGTATTTTTTTTTCTAATCTTCAGATTGTTTTAAACTTGGTTTAGTAAATTTTTAAGTATTTAAACATTTTATAGAAATGTGTATTCATTATAAGCTCTTAATGTAAGGGACTTGCTAAAATTAAAAAAAAAGCCTGATGTTTTCTGTTACCATAATGACAATTCCAAATTGTATTTTCAGCCTTAACTTATTTTAGATGTATATATAATCAATAACCACCTCAGGTTTCATGCAAAAAAGAAAAAAGGGTGGTGTGAATATGGTAATGTCCAGAATATTTTTCTTGACTAAAAACATAATCTGCTTTTGTGGGGAACAATTTTCTGCTAGGTGAGATCCAAAAGGAATTTACTAATAAATTGTTGGAATCTGTTCATAATTGAAAAGAAATGACTTTTTCTTCTTACCAAAGGAAGTTGATTGTTGTTTTTGTTTTGTATCATCTTGTTGCAAATCCAATGTAATCAATCCTGGATCTGAAATAGGAAATTCTCTCACATGATGTATATTGTGTGGACTAATCACTTGTCACTCATTTTGCTTTGTATAACATGCATTGTCTGGTCATTGTGCTAACAAGTTCAATATACTGAAAAAGCACTCAAAGCATTCATTGAATGGAAATTGTTTTCTGATGAAATAGTCACCTTAGTTGAAAGGCAGAGTCAGGGTATAGAAAACCAAAAAGAATTATTTAATGACTGAGTAATGATGCTATGAATGAGATTGTTTAAAATGCTGCTATCTTTTGTATCAATTTATTTATAATTAGTGCATCTTGTATAAATCCTGTTATGCCACAATAAATGCCTCTTTTGCTTTTCAAATTAAATTTCACTTTTTTACTTTTGGTTAAATGTTTACACTACTTGAACTTTTTTAAAATTTTTTTGTTGATTTTTCTGTAAATTTTCTCCCTCCCCCTCTTCCAAACAAGACTGAAATCCTTTGAGTGCATATTTGCTGATATCTGTATTCTTTGGTGATTGAGTAGACAAGAATTCTGCTCGCACTCCACCATCAATTTTTATTTTGAATGCTTAGTGAAATATATGAAATGAGTTATCTAGTCTCTACTTGAGCCAAGGTTAATATCTTCATTCTTAAGCAGAATCTGTTTTTATAACGATAACATTAAAAGGAATTAATGCTATATGATGTAAAATGAGAAAAAGCTCTTCAAAATAAGGTAAAATAAAACAAAAATGTCTAAGCAAATAAGAAAAAAAAAAAAAGAAAAGAAAATTGGTTTGCCTATTGTCTTATTTACACACTTGTTTCTTTCCCATTTTTTTTCCCCCACTGTCCTGGGCATAACGTTAAACTGCATCCACATCCAGGGCATGAAGCTAAACTGCAGTCATGGGTTTTCTTTTTTTTTTTTTTTTAACAAAACAAGTTCACCTTTATTCTGAGTAGGACACTAAACTACTACCAGGTGTAGAATAGGAAGCAAGATGGATTAGAAACTAATTATTTGTATGAGGAAAACTTAACCTGCATGTCATCGGTTTATATGATAAGCCGACAACCTATTTGTTTGTTTGGTGCCTTCAGGAAAAAAAACATGTATTTTCCATACAAACAATCTATTAAAAAGAAAAAAAAAAGACGCCTTTTAAACTACCAACAAAAATCATAATCCACAAACTATCTGTTTATACAAAATGCTATGCCTAAACTACCTGTTCGTACAAAAATACCTATAAAATTGCAATATATAAAGCACACATTTACAAAAACTGATTCCTAATAACTACAAATCATCCTCAATGGCAGATCAAGGCTAATGAGATTAGTTCCCCTGATAGCAGCGTGCCTTAAGAAGGAACTCCGAGGTGAGTGGGGAGCACAGACAGCAAATATGAAAACAATATAATATGACTAACTCTTATAAACAATCCAAGAGACAGTATTAAAACTCTGAAACTGAAAGTGACAATGAAATATCGGAAAAAAAAAAACAATTTCCAATTTTTGTAGTCATAGAATCATTAGAGGATGAAATAGCAAAAGAGTCACCTTTTCTGTTACGAAGGTATATCAGTCATAGTAGAACCAAAGTCAGAAAAGAAAAAAAAAAGTAATAAAATGCCCAGAATTATCATTCTGCGAACAGGAAGAAATTAAAAATGACACCTTTAAAAAGCAAGGCATAACAGATGTCAAAAGAATACGAATAAAAAGAAATGGCACATCAACAAACACATACATTTTGACATTCAATGAACCTACCTTACCAAAGAAATAAAAATAGGATGTACAATAACTCTAATCCTTGCAGATGTCACAAATGTCAGAAATTTGGCCATCTACATAATGTATTAGAGCATCAGATGTGAGGAATTTGAAACTGATCATGAAGAGTCACCCTGTGAAAGGCCCTCCTTTATGTCCAAACTTCAAACGAAATCACTCAGTAGATTCTAAAGAGTGTAACATCTGGAAAAAGGAAAATCAAATGAGAATAAAATACACACAAAACAAGAAGCTAGAAAACAGATGAAAACTAACTTCCAACAACATATGCAAATAATATTAAACTAACAAATCACCATAATGATATATAAGAGAACAACACAATAAGAAACCAAGAATTTAAAGTCTAATAATTGAATTAAAAAAACTAATAGAATTATTAAAATTTAGTATACCAGACATAAACCAAACACTCATAGTCAAAACAAATCCTGTCAACGTCAAACAAAAAAGAATCTATAAGTACAAAACCAATAACTCTGAAAACCGCAATCCAAAATACAAAAATCCTTCAAGAAATAGAACCCTCCAAACAAGAGAAACAAAGTTCACAAAAAAATAACACAACCCAATACATCACTGAAGAACCAAGAGAAATGGGCATACATGAACAAAATTCTATCCCATCTCAAGTAAGGGAATGGTCATCACCCAGATAAAGATCGCCAAACAACTGAACAGATGAGCAGAAACAAAAAACCCCTCCAAAGAAAAAAATATGATAAGAAACAAAGTGCTCACAGATTTGAGGGTATAGAAATTATGGACACTTCACCCACTAAATATAAACTAGACAAGCAAAAAAACTCCTAACACCCTAATACATAAGCATGATGCAAAAAATTATACAGTGGAATCATTGCAGGTGAAAAAAGAAATTTACTAGCAACAGATTTGTCTTTTGACAAAAAAAAAACCCTCTTTACAAAAATTCATCAATGAAACCTGATCTGTAAACTGATTTCTTACAAAGAATACATATTCTATTCATATGAACCTATCCTAAAAATTTTGTCAATGTTAAATAACCCATTGAGGTTGATATGTTGAAAGACAAAATAAACCAAACCAAACCTATTTTATCCCAGTTAATTATTTCCATTGTAATCAAAAGCTTGAAGCAATTTTTAGTAACTTCACAAGCACTCCCCTTTTGTATTGTCCTCAAAGAGAAAAGCCAGCATTTTTCTATTTCTTATAATTGCGAGAAGTATTTTTTTTATTTTAAGCTTTTTATTCATTGAAAAACATTTTTTTTTTCTCAGCCCTAGCAAGCCCAGCCATGACCTTCTTAAACTGGACCTGTTCAATTCTAGTGCTGCATCCACACCTACTGGTGGCAACACTTACAATCTTCCTTCTCCACTGGTGTCTTCACGAGCGGATGGTACTTCACACACCTCCAATAGTGGCTCAACTACAACGTTATCAAGTTCTAGTATGTATAATATTCACTCAATTTCATAAGGGATTGATTCCAATGATCGGAGGGTGGCATTTTCAAATCAGACTTTCATCATTCATTTATAGAACTGTAAAATGTTAGTACTACACTTATTAAAATTTGCTTTGCTAAATATGACACGTTAAAAAAAATGCAGTTCAAGTTTTGCTGGTCCTTCTTATGGTCAAATCTGTTAATTTATAGGTGTTTTGGATAAAATTTCTTTTTAGCAACAAAATATGAAGACAAATCAATAAGCCTGACACAATTATTAGCTAAACTTTTTGCTTTATAATGCTTAATCTTTGTGATTAATATTTATTGAATTAAGTGCATTGACAAAAAAGATTATATTGAAAAAAAAGTTTTATTGTGTGAATGAAATACATATGGAAACTGAAGAACCAAAGACCAAAAAACACAAGCTTGAAAATTACACTCAAGATTTGCACAAGTCAGCTGACAGCTATGAAGAGAAAGCTAAGCAGACTCAGAACTTCACACTTATAGCAAAGTTCAATGCCATACAAAGATCTGCAAAGGATAAATCCATAGAGATATCCAAATTGGAAGAGGAGCTGAATGCTAAACTAGATGAACTGAAAAAAATCATTGTGTTCTGTGCTATGTGCAACAAAAGCCGTGAGTAGTAGGCAGAGCTAAAATGTGTAGTTTTTTGGTGAAAATTTCTGTTTGTAGTTGTGTTCATTAAAACCATTATACTTAACTTCCCAGGAAATGTGCCGCAGTAAGAATTAAAGTGTGTCATTCAAAATTTTCAAGTGTAGTAGAACTCCAAACTGTGTAGAATGCTGCACAAAATGTGTAACATAACCAAGTCTGCATTCAGTTGTGTTTTAGCCTTCAATACTTTGATTTCTTCATTGCTTTCAACTGATCCACATGACATGACTTATTGCAACCAGCTTTAGGTTTTCTTTGACCATCTCATCTGTCAATCTATTAACAGATAAATCACAAAGTTTGTGTTTTTGAAATTGATAACCATTCACTTTGTGCTTGTGTGTGTGTACACCAGTTTCAGTCCTTGAAACTTAACACAGTCCTGGAATATTTTTTTTTACACAGATTTGTGGGAACCCTGAATGGACTATTCTGTTTTGATTATGAGGAAAGACCGAAAAGACATGTCAGAGATGCTGGTTTCAGTGAAAAACAAAGATATCAATAAAATGATAATGCTCTCATATGTTTAATTTCTGCTTCAGTGAAATGGAAAACCTTTACAGTTTCTAAACTTTTCATTTGTACCCTCTTACTTCTTTAAATAATGACCTGCATTCATACTTATGCTTGTTATTGCAATATCTGGTTGAAGTCATTAAGCTTAAGTAATTACTGATGATATATGGGAATTTCCTGGCTATTTTATAGTCGTAGAACTTGCAAGGAGCTTATTCAAACATTAACTTAAGAATTAAGATTTATCAGAAAATTCAAATAACAAAATTTGAAATTATCATTGGTACTACTAGTTGTCGTTATTCACTGATTGTGTGCCTTAGAATGTATATTATGTGACAGTAAATCTTCTCAATACTCCAGCACTCTTCAGTATTCTTGCTATTTTTAGTAAAAAGATGATTCTGAATTGTTATTTCTTGTAGAGCCAAGACCAAGTATGTAGTCCTGACACACTTATAGGGTTTGTGCTACTTAATTGACTGTATTCCTGTCTGTGTTTTGACTGATCTGGTTAGTATAGATGTTGATACTGGCTGGGATGCAATTGATCTTTGCCAGTATCTAGAACATCTATAACAACTCTTATATTAATTTATTGTAACAATCTTTTATAGACGGTTTGTCAGTGTGGATATAAAATACCTTAGATTTGGTTTTGTATTAAACATAGCTTTAAAAAATCTCTTTTCATTAAGCCTCAAATGAGGAATTATCATTTCTATGCTTTACTATTTTCCTTTTCATGATACATATTTTTATTCACTTGTACATTACTTCCATTGAATCAGAATAGTAGCACTACCAGACCCACAGATTGAACTTGCAACTGTCAGGAAATCAGATATGTTTTAATCAATGCTTTAATTCACTAGGCCATGGTTCTTGGCAATCTTGTATTGAAATTCTGGAGAATAAAAAATCTAATGTCTGTCATTAGATGAATGTCCTGGGGTCAAGTTGAGGGGACTTTGGGAGAGGTTTTGACTTTGGTGTCAGAATTTCTATTGAGTACCTTTTCTTTCTTAAATTGGAGTCTACTGATGAGAGGTTTTCAGTGCCTAACATGCACTGATTCTTTCCGTTGTCTTACTTCCAGTGTTGTTTTCTGTCTGTTGTCATGACTTTATATCACAAGGTTTGATGACCATGATTTATTTATATTTTTTTGCTATATGATCAGCCATTTTAATCTCTCTCCTCAGGCAACTTCAGTGTTCTTCCGCTCTTGCTTTCAGGAGACTGTTGGTCTCTCCTTTGTATTCCTTGCCACAACTGCATGTGATAGAATACATTCAGTTTTTGATTATGTTTTCTATCTGGCAGGTGTTGGTTTGAGAGATACATCTCTGAAGGGTCGAGCTGCTTTTGAATACTGTCCTGATGGGCTGCAGATTCTATGAATTATCTCAGATGTATTTATATATGGTAGACAGCCCATGACAGATTTTTGATTGTTCTTGACTCTTCAGTCCCTGAAAGCTGATATTATGCTTGCAAGGTTTACCTTGAAGGGTTTGTAATGTTGATCATCTCCAGTTGGTATGTGTCTGGATCGCCACTTCTGAGTTTGGCCCTATGTTGTAAGCAGCGGACTATACCTTTCTTGAATGTATGGATGGTGGGATTTAAAGTTCAGATATTGCCTAGTGAATGTAGGCTTACAACATATGGATATTTTTAACCCATCCTCCTGTGAGTTATTTGTATATCCAAGAAGACAAGTTAGTATTTTTTTTCTATTGTGAACTGTATGAAAGGTCATATTGTGTTCACATGCTCCAGTAATATTTACACATCTTTCTGTTGGGAACAGAGTATGAAGATGTTATTTATGTATTCAAACCATTGTTTGCTTTAGTGGTGAGGTTTCTATAGTCATTTCCTCAAAGTATCCCATGTATTTATTTGTCATTATTGGAGATAATGGTGATCCCATAGCTAAACATTCTTTTGGCATATATTGAAATCCAATTGGGAGTATTTTTTATATACAGAACATTAATATCTTCATGTTATCTCTTGGGGCTGCTTGTACTTGCTTCTAGAGAGGAGTTTGATTCTAATTCGTCTTAACTACAATAGAAGCCCATTGGTGAGAAACCTGATGACTAAGCTCTCATCATCCAAGGTCATCATCTAGTTGGTACAAGTGGAAACATCTCTGATGGTCTATACAAAATGGGTTGAGTTTTTTTACAGAGGACAGACATCTTTTATTGAGTTGATTATACCTATTCAGAATTTACTCAGTGGGTGATAGGCTGAGCCCCAATAACTGATTAGTGCCTCAGTGGAATAACATCTTTATGAATTTTGGGAAGGCTCTACATGTATGGTAGTTTACTGGAATGATTGGTCATCTGTGTTCATTCATCCTGAAGTGATCTTTGGTCTTGCTCAAGATCTTTAAACGGCTTCCTCTCAGAATTTTCAGAGTTGGATCTAAGTAGTTCCCATACCACCCAACTTTGTTAGCCAATTTTTCAAAGTATTCAAAAAGTGTCCATCACTACCATGGTATTGCAATGCAGGATTTTGAGCCATTTCTTCAATTTCAGAATCTTGGCTTTTTCCAGTGGCTCTTAGTGTGTCAGCTTGAAAAGGGATCCTCAAAGTACTTGCTCAGTTGGGGCTATTACAACCAAGTATAAGACCTGCTTGTGAATATGAAACCCTTTTCTCAGCAGTATTTAACTGTTATTTGCTGATGTTAACTGCCTTCACAAATCATTGAAAACATTGTAGTAACTTTGTACCGTGATCATTCAACCACTTTAGTTTCTTAAGTCAATAAGGCTGATAAATATTTACTGTTCTGAGGTATCTTCCTTAAGTATGGAAATTGGGATGAAAACTATTTGTCTCTGTGGATCGAATAAAGGTTTTGATTTGACCATCTAAAAATGTTACCAAGTACACTAACACACACCTGAAACGTTTTGAGTGTAACAACCCAGATACATAAAATAGTATCATGTCTAGTTAATAGTTTCTTGTCTCTCTCTCTCTCTCTATTTCTTTCAGATGCTAGTGATGCGGCTGGTGGTTCAAATCAAACAAATCAAGACACATGTATACTGCCTGCTCCTCCCAGTTCCAAAGTAGTTGGCACTTCTAGTCAGGCCACATCCCCAGTTGGTTCTGCAGCCGCTGCTGCTACTACTGCTGTCCACCCTAGTTTCCCCCTCCCACCTCGACCACCATCACGCACCAAGACTCCACTCCCACAGGTGAGTAGTTGCCATTCCACTCCCTCCTCTCCTAGTCTCATAGACTCCTTATTCTCTTCTTCTCCATCGCTGATTGACTCTCCCATTTCTCACTTTTCTAACTGTTACCAGTCAAGTCTACAGTCTCCCAACAAGTGGGTTTCTTTCGAATCTTTCAACCAGGTGAGTTACTACCTGGCACACACACAATTACCTATTTAACTTGTGTACTGATCATGCGTGTACATGTATTAGATGAATCTCGGCTATATGCGTATTTGTTGGGCAGCAGTCATTTTGTACTTTTACTTTGCTTACAGGTGCCTCTACGTCCTGGCCGCATGAGTCCAGCTACCCTGATCTCTCCTCCTGACAGTTCTGGTTCCATGTTCAACACAACTTCCTCATTAGGCTCTTCACGGGGTTCTAGTCCCCTCACTCTAGGGATGGCTGATGTCATTCCTATGGCCGTGGCCTTCACAGAGAATATCAATGCCAATTTCAAGGGAACAGATGCCACAAAGTAAGTCCATCACAAAATAATTAACGTACCTCTTGTATCTTTGAATATAAACTTGTGCTCCAGCCTCAGCGATCTTGCATAAGTTCCACAATGCTCCTTGATAAAGATGAGAGATAAAAAAAAAAAGTATTCAGATGCTGACTGGATTGTTAGTTTGTCCATTCTTTGTTTTTTCATTTTGTAGTATTCCTGGTTCATGTTATAGTGTTGGGCAGAGCTCACCTCTCACCTGTTTTCTGCTGTACTACAAAATTTTCTGAATCGTTTCACATTTTACTGAGCTCATTGTCACTAGAAAAAAAATTTTGTCACCATTTTTAAAAGTCCAAATCATCATCTGTAGCATTATTAGAAAAAATAATGTTCTTGAAAGAAGTTGTGAACATTAGTCATTTGTTTCTTAAGATCTTTGAAATGTCCTGAATGTTTTGGGCAAATCAAGCATCTTGTCAAAGTACCATTCTTCTGAAGGCTTATTGGAGAAGCCCTTTTTGATATGTGATTCTTATTTGCTAATTATCACCGGATCAGTTTGGTTTGATTAGGGATTTTTACTATAAAACTGAGTACATCTTTTGTTTGAATTGTGAATTCTTTGAAAATAAGATGAAAAATATACAACAGCATTAATATTATTAATTTTTTTTTTTTTAATAAATTCTGACATGAAATTCTTTTTATTAGTTTTGAGTAATTTCAGTGTAAATTTTTGCAATAGGGAGATATTATTTACATTATTTACATCTGTACTTGTGACTTCATCTTTGTTATCACACCATTTCGAACAGTGTGGCCTTCTTTAGGTGTCTCTCAATCTGGAGAGCAATAAGGGAATTTTGTACTGAACCCATTATTTAATCTATGGGGATAGATTGTTCTTGTTCTGCTGCCCCCCGTGTCTAGCAAGATCCTTTTTAGTACTGCTCAACATTACTTGCTGTGTTTCTACAAAGTCTGAGTTTATATAGGGTTGTTCAGTTCTTTGAGGACATTTTCATGAATTTACTAAAAGATGTATATATCATGAAAGAAGAGCTTTATATGAAAAAAAATATTGGCATGAATAATCTTGAACTCTACTTAATGAATCCACCATTAGCATCAATGACTACTTCAATGCAAAATCTGAAATGTTGATATAACCAAATCAGATGATCTTTATTGTGCTAGTTATGGCAGATTATTTACATTATTTGGACTATTGTCCTCATCTTTGTCGCCATACTTATTACAATGTTTCGGCTGTTGTACGCTCTGGCCTTCTTCAGGTGGTTGGAATGTCAAACTGAACCCTTTATTTCGCTCACTGGGGTAAAATGTTCTAGTTCCACATGCCATGTCTAATGGATGTTAGTTATCAGTTATCTCCTGTTAATTCCCCTCTTCAAGTTTTCCACTGCCTTAACCAGATATTGAACTCACATTCTTTGGGTCCTGTCACTGAAATATAGACGGATACTAGTTATGGCAGATTTCAGAGATTTTATAATGTTTTGGGGACATTGATTGACTACTTTTGACTATGCCTCATAGATAGTAGTCCAATGGATTCAAGTCTGTAGAGCTAGGAGGCCATATGTATGGGATGATGTTATTGTAACTCATCCATTCTTGGGTCATTTTGGCCTTATGAGATAGCGCAGTGTTTTGTTGCTAGGTGTATGGTCACACTCTTTATCCAAGGCCTCACAACCTTCTCCAATACCTCCTTATAGTAAGCAGCATTGGCCCTTAAACCCTGTGGCAAGAAGTGAGAAGGTATGACATCCCTCTTGTTGCTCACGGCTCCTAGAACCATCACAGTTACCAGAAACTTTGTGTGCATGTCTATTGGAATGTCTTTAGAGTCTCTGCATAACCATCTGTCATTCCTTTGGTTGATATTTTGGTCCTGATCAAATTTTTTTTCCATTAGAGAAAAACTAAAGCACTTCAGGCTCTTGATGCTTCACCTTGCTCAACAAGCACTTTGTGCAGGCCAGATGAATCTGACATGAATTGGCCTATCCGCATCACATCTGACTTGTATCAAAGGTCCTTATACACAATTCTTCTGATAGAATGTCTTGAAAACTTGAGCTGCTTACTAATGATGCTAATTGACTTTCTGGGCTTCTTATTGATAATTTTCTGCACCTTTTGTACAAATTTGTGTGTTCTGATGGTATTAGGATCTTTAGCAGGCATTTTATGTTATATATACAGCTATAGAATGCCTGTCAGTGCTTTGCAAAAAATGACCATGCAACTTTCAGGAAGCAAGTGATCTCTAAATCCCTATGCTTTGCCTTTAAGGCAATGATTACAGTGTGTCTTTTCATTATTGCCTTTTCATTTTCTGAGTTAGCTTTGTCAACATTTGTCTGAAAAGAAATGATATTCAGAACAATGTTGGCTATCAAATGACGTATCCTTAAAGAACTAAGCAACCCTGTACTACCTTGTCCCAGGATTGAACTCACAAATACTATGCTACCAAATTCATGCACCACTGCTTTAACCCATTAGGCTGTCATCCTGAAGAAGGCCTGAGGGCACAACAACCCAAATGATAACAAAGATAAGGATATTAGTCTGAATGTAGATTCTGTAAATAGTTTTGAGTAGTATCTTAACCTTTTTTCAGTCATCAATTTAGATGTGACTTTAACCTCATGACACCATTTTATCATTTAACACTTTGGCAAAAACAAGGTTTTTCATTTCTAATCTTTCTCTCAATGTCTTAGACTTTATTCTAGGCTGTATTCTTGTGGCCTACTTAGTAGCAATAGTAGTGGTAGTAGAGTTTGAGTTTTGTTTGAAGCTGTTACTATCTTCCAAATTCTTTTCTAGCCTGAAGACTATTTTAACTACAAATTTCATAACTGGAAACACAAAAGGCAATTAAACAAAAATAACAATAAGTGAAATGTGGTATTGTTTATTTTATTTTTTTTCTGATTGATACAACAACACTTACAATTTTTTGCTTTCAGTTATTGGTAACATAGTGATTTTTTTTTTATTAGAAGTGAACTGTATTTCAAAAGATAAAACATACTTGAACCTCTGAGAGCCGTAAGCAATTTTAAATTTTACTGAGCAGGATATTCTTCAATAGTCAAATTGAGCTCTATAGAATTTTCATGTGAAACATTTGAGTTTTTATGACCCTGACAATGTTACTTTTAAATTTGGAAATCTTTGTAATATTTGAGTCATCTTCATCCTGAAAAATGCATTTTTCTTATTGATTATAAACAATGGAAATAAAAACTGAAATGAAAGAAACTCTTTATGAATTTACTCCAAATCAACTTTTCCTTCTTCGAATGTTCAGATTAGACAAAAATTTGAAATATTGCTGGAAATGTGATTAGTTAAAAGTTGATGAGTACACTCTTGGTTCTCAGTGAGTATTCATTACAGGTGGGCAACTCCCTTTGTCCTCAGTGGACGTGTTTTACAGGTCGGCAACTGAATTGGTCTTTGCAACTCTAATAAATTATTTTATTTTTTCTATTCTGCTTACAATGTTTTTTTTTGCAATTATAAACCTTTGCTGTCAAATCTCCAAATACAATTTTTTCATTATTTTTAATGTAATGGTTTCTTTTGATTTGTGCTAATTATCTAAATTTATTTTGTATGTTGGCCATTTTTATTTAAGTTGTTGATTTTGACCAAGAGAAAAATATGTATATTTTACTTGTTAAAATCTTAACAAAACTCAATGGTGATTGTGTCCCTCCAAATACATTCTCTTTTTGCCTTCCTAAATTGTCTTGGTGTTTCTCTGTTTTCAGATGCACTGTATCACTGACAGGTAATTTAATGATGTCCTTCCCTGCTGGAATCATCAAAGTGCTGACAGAAAACCCGTCTCCATCCATGCTTAGTTTTCGAGTTACTGGTGCTGCACGTTTGGAGCATGTCCGAATCAATACTCAGTTGATATCTCAGTAGGTTCATCCATTTCTACTTTTCTCTTTTATTTAGCAAACTTCATTGTTTTTATTAAATTACAATATGAGGTACAAAACTGGCTTGATAGAGGGGATTTGCTCTTTTATCTATAGATAATATGAAAACATTTAATGACATAATACAATGTCATTTTTGTTTTTTACTGAAATTCTTATTAAAGCATGGACTGTATTATTAAATTCAAAAAGGAACACTTTATATGAAGTAAAATGCCATGTTACTTCAGGAGGTAAGCAATCATAGCTCACCACAGCTTCCTTTTCATTATTATATGTGAATTGCCATGTGACACTATTTAGCTATAGTAATTGGCTAACTAATTAACCATAGAAATTAAGAACAGGAAATACTTAAGGCGAGAAAGAGCTATATCGAAAGATAGACTGTGCGACATTAAAAAGATTTTATCTTATTTACAAAGAAAAAAGGATACTTTTCGCAAAAGACAGAAAATCCATAAGAAAAAGCGAGATGTGGGATTCTGTCAAATTGATTAATGCCATGGTAAGGGAATGTTGCGCCAAGGGAAACAGAATTTAGAAAGAAAAACAGCCGGCTGACACATGGCAGTCATAAAAAATTTTGGCTTGAGATGACCGCAATACAGGCAGAGAGAATCAATATTAATTATCTTTCAGAGATATCATTTATTTTTGATTCTTGGGTCCAGCAAAGAAAGGCCATCTGGTGTGTGTAAGAATTTTGGCATGAGCAAGAAAATTGTGGAGAGAAGTATTATTGTTACTTTATCAAATTGTTGACATCACGTACAGCGTCGTCAAAAAGAGCATCTGGTGATAAGAGAACTTTTAAGGCATGAGAAAATAGGGAATTTGATTTCTCAAGTAAACACGGACCCCCAGTTAAAAGTTTACTTTGCAGAGGAGCCAGATGTCAGGTTCTTGACAGTGATGGATGGAAGCGCAGAGGTTTTGGCCGATAGGAAAAAGAAAAAGAGAATTTTGTAAACAAAATTCTGGATAATAATTTTAAGGCCAGTCTAGCCACACCCACACTGCCGAGAGATCATTGGTCAAGTGGTAGTATGAGTGATAGGCAGAGGTGAATGTATGAGAAAGGTGGAGAAGTTGTTAACACCCACTGAAGGGATTGGTATGAGATACCAATGTGAGAGAGGAAGAGTCTAGGAGAATAACTCTCCTCCGACCTCCCCTCACGGACGAGGGAGAACTCCCCACCAAAATGGAAAGTGATTAATCTTCCAAAAATGGGAAGTAATTAATTTTCCTAAGAACAAAGAGAATTCTTGTTGGGAATCGAGAATTATCGAGGAACCCAAGCCATGTCAGGCCCCACACAGGATTTTGGTTGGTACCCATATAAACGAAAGTCCACGGGCAGTTGAGTGCGCAATAGCAGAGTGTTGCCTCGCAGAAGCTGACCAAGAGATTCCACGTCCTTTTGACTTCGCCTTCCTACCAAAAGCAAGTTATATTGACGAACGGCTTAAGATGCCAAAACTCTCTTAAGAAACACAAATGTGTCACAAATCCATAGAAGCAGGCTGGGAGAGAAACACACTCCTGTGTATAACAGACAAATAAAGATAATTTGTTATTTCTCAACATACTTGAACCTCTTGAGTTTTGTTTTATTGTTTCTTTTACTTACACTTGTGCGATATCACCTTCACCCCGGATTCAGCTTGCTCTACGGCCTGACGCCTGATTGATTTCGTCTACCTAAGATCAAAGTCCCAACATGAGTAGGTTAGACTTGAGATCAAAGTCGTTACTTTGGTAACCAGATGTTGGAAGTGAGCTGGGAACAACAAAGCTGATATCGACCGGGACACAGGCTGGTGGCAGCGACAAGGAGTCAACCCCAAAACGCTAGTGGAAGAAACCTTGGGACTGGGAGTTGACCATGGGCCGACAGCGCAGTGTCACATATTGGTGTTGCGACTAGAGGACATCACATATTGGTGCTGTGACCACCGGAGGGTGTCACAGCCATGACTTCTGGAAAAAGCTATTGTAACAGTTCTCCATTTCCTTTAAAATTTTATATAGGAATGTTTTTAGATTTAGTTCTCGGGCCCAGAACTTGTGTGTGTTAATTCCTTGTCTGTCAGGGGATAAAGCATATTGGTTACCCATGTGGAAAGTGGTATTTGTGAGTTCATGTTTTAGCCTAGTGTGTTGCATTCATTTCACACTAATGTCCTTGGAAAAGAGATGAATCCACTTCTCTCTCCAGGTTTAAATAGCAGAATACAGGGCTTTCTTGTATCAACCAGTATAGAAGAACTATTCTGAATTTAAAGCCTTTTCAAGGGAAACAATTCTTAGCCCTGTAAATCTGTTTAGTAAAATTCTAAAAACATCAAGAAAATATCGATATTAATTTAATTCCAAAGAAAATCTTAATGGGACTGGAATGAAAATCCTCAGATCTGTATCTGCAATGACAAATAGATATAAAACTGGATTTCATTCAGTTTATTGTAGACTGTTTGAATCTTACATCATTTATTTGGGTATTGTCAATAAAAAAACATTTTGGAAGAAATGAATTTGAAATTTTTTGATTGATCAATGTTAATATTTTTTTTGTTTACTTAAAAAATGTTGTTTTCAAGTGAAAAAAACCAACTTTTCTCTTTTTTTAGGGATACTTTGCAGAGCACATCAGAAAGTTTTACATACATTTTTGATATGACTGCGCTGACAGAACATCTTCGTGCAGAGGGAGAGATGAATAAGTCAGCATCTTATTTTAACGTAGACATATTGAAATATCAGGTAAAGGTACCATTTTGTAAATTTATCATTAATTTTGAGCTCTCTTGATCAGCATCAAAATAATTTTTTCTCCAACTTTGTGAAAGAAATATTTGTTAATTTTTACAAACGTTCTCGATAAAATGATAGGCATCAAAATTCCTGCAGTGTTTTATCCAAAAGTGAAAAGATCATCATAAAAGGTGATTGCTAATTTGGATGTTCATGGCAAAATAAGTTGCCTCATAAAGATGATATGAAATGAATTGTTGCTTCAGGCTCAGTTGGAATACAAATTGAATTTGCACAGCTTTAAAATGAAACAACTTTAAAACATTCTGTCCACTTGATGGCTATTCTGATACAAAGAGGACAGTTGTTAACCCAATAAAGACTGAACCTTTTGTAGTGGGTGTGGCTAATGTAATTTCTCAGGAATTATGTAATGCTCTATTTGTCTTGAATATTGGTTAGCTTGCAAGTAGTCTGCCACACAAGTAGACTGGTGTAGCCACTTCAAGTTGAAGTGACCCGAGTCATTTAATGGAGAGATATATGGGTAAATAGAGTCCACTCATGCAAATGTGTTGGGCAGGTCCATTCCAGAAAAGTGGATTAACCCACCTGCTGTGGTAGGTACTCTCCTATAAATGAGGTAGATTAGCAGGCTTGACTTTCGAAGGAGATACAGAAGGCAGCCATGTTAGCAGGTAAATCATTTGACTTCTACATAGTGGGTGTGGCTAATGTAATTTCTCAGGAATTATGTGATGCTCTATTTGAGTTAGGGGAATAATTGGTTGAATTTTCTTTTGATTTATTCTATTTACATTGTTAGGACTGTTGTCCTCATCTTTATTGTCATATTCACAACACTTCAAGTTGTGCAGTCCGGCCTTCTTGTTGGAATTTTGAACCAAATCCTTTATTTTGTTCACTGGGGTAGATTGTTCTAGTTCTACTTGCCATGCCTTTTCTGGATATCTTGGTTTCAGTTATTTCCTTTTAGTAACTTAACTCTGCAAGTTTTTGTTTGCCTCTGCTTGGTCAGATATTGAACTCACAACTCTTTGAAGTAATCCATTGACTTGATACAATCAACCCTTTTATCCACTGGGCCATGTGTTTTGAATATGACAATAAAGATGAGGAACAACAGTCTGAACTATGTAAATATTACAAAAATTTTCTTTTGATGTTTGTAATTTTTTTCATAAGGATGATGAGTAATATTCTTTTTGTGTAGGTAAAAACCTTACCAGGTGTTGATAACACCCCGTTGCCTTTGGTGGTATACTGGAAGTGCACCCCAACAGATACAAATTATCGGCTGGATTATAAATATAATCCAAGCCCTATGTCACTGCCTGTCACGCTGAAGAATATTCAAGTAACTGTTCCTGTTGATGGTCAGGTATCCAGTATGCAAAGTATCCCTACAGGAAACTGGTCAGTATTTACCTTTTCATGATGTTTATTTATAATTGTGGGTTTTGTTATGCACTATTCTTCTCTGTCTTCCTTCTCTTCCTCTCTTTGCCTATATTGTTAAACTTGCCGAAGCACTTTTATGAAATGTACTCTAAGATAGATGTGATATTGAAATTAGTATGTTCCGAAAAGCAAAAAGCTTTCTTGCCACTTAATAAGTGTCATTTTTATTTCTTTTTTCCTCTTTGCACAGGAATTTAGAGGAAAAGCGTGCCACATGGAAACTGTCAGACATCTCTGAATTGAGTGAGAATGGTTGCCAAGGTTGCATTCGGGCCAAATTTGACACTAGCAATGGACCAAACAATCCTTTGCCCACTGCCCTACAATTCATTGCTGAAGGAGCCACACTTTCAGGGCTGGACTTTGAACTCGTTGGCTTTGGTTATAGACTCTCTTTGGTGAAAAAGAGATTTGGCACAGGTAAGTAACGCTTTTCTATATCTATTAGCCAGCTTCTGTTTGGCTAATGCAAGTTTTGTGCTTTTGACATTTTCTTAAAAGTAACAATCTTGTATAAAGTAGAAATGAAGATGATTTCCCCGTAGGTTCTGTCTCAATTGAAATCTCAATCTGTTTATGATTTATCTTTTGTAGGCAAGTATGTTGTGGAGCCAGACCCCGATATAAAGTACCCCTAATAGCAGGCCTTACAGATTTTAGCATCTATCAACTAACCAACCAACCGTGCTGTGACTGTTCAAACTTGTGATCCTGGGACGGAACCAGTAACCACACTGCCCCACTCCATCTGGCCACCCTGTGCTAACTGGGAAGTGTTCAACCCTATGCATCTTTGCACTTGGTAGCCCCAAGAAGACGACAAAAGTGGGCGTGGGGGGGGATATCACAAGATGTCTGACAATGACGATCATCGTCCTTCCTCTTCCCAACATGTCTCCTTCCTCCCTCCCATTTCTCATTACAAATTCAGAAGCAAACTCCTTTCAGTAATCAGTGAACTGTCAAGTGTTTGGATGAGTGTGCATTCTGTTCCCTTCCTACTGTAGTCCACTTCTATTTATTTGGCCCCGCCCCTAATGTAACAAGCTAGCAGCAACCTCCTCTTTCAGGATTATTCCCACTCCTTCAGTTGGCATGACAACAGATTCAATTAACTAACCCCACCCCTCCACTTAACTTGACTGCCAATATTTGGATTTAAGATGTGAAAATTACAATCTGAACCCTTGTATGAAATGGTATGTTGGCATTTGTCTTATATTGATACTCATGGGCAGATTGCATTGTTGGAATTGGTATGGAATTATTACACTGACCATCATTTGGCATGTTGATTATAATGATAACTCCCCCTGCTCAGCCACTCTTTTGGTAAATGTCCAATTTTCATCAAGCAGGACTCATGACTAGCACTGCTGACCTCTTTGTGGTCTTTTCATGACTGGTTTGTTAGGAAATCTTCTCTCCAGAGGATATACTCTCTGGATTATTTAGAATTTTGCAAATCTTCTTCTGAGAATCATTAAATGGAACGTAGAGTGTATAGAGAACAGTTGGTATGCTGTAACAAATGTTTTGATATATTGGTGACTCCCTTTCTGAAGCAGTGGAACTGGTCAGGATTAGAATAACTGTGACAAAGTGTGTGTGCATGTGTGTGTCTCTGTTTAATGTGTATTGTTATTTCTGCTGTAATCTGATGAAGGTTGGAGATTTGCCAAATGTAACTTCATCTTGGAAGTTTTGGGTGAGAGCACTGTTAGATTATTCTTTTGATTTCTCTGTCCCCCTCGCCTCCTCCCTCTTGGCTGTGGTATGTCCAGATTTTTGTTGAGATACTCTTTCCTTTTTCTTCTGCCCACTCCCAAAATGAATAGCCACCTTTGTATCAAACACATACATTCTTATTCCATGGTTCTTGTTGCACTAAAAACACCGAAACTGATGATAGCCTAATAACAGCGTGTGCGTGTGTGTGTGTCTGAAGGGAACTCAATTTGTGTATGCAGCATCTTCATATCTGATTGGTTGTCTGTGTCTTGAATGGACATGCACCGCTTCAGCCAGCATTGCATTTCTGGGTTATCTTTTAAAAGGTTTCTCTTGCTCTCTGTCTCTCTCTTTTTGTCTCTGTGTGTGTGTGTATGTGTAATACTTGCTAACCATGCCTCTAAGATGACTTTTTATTGGCTTATATATTTTTTTTAATTTTTTATTTGTGAAACACATCTCTGCCTCAAAATGATGTTGAATCTATTTTAATTGGAGGAATGGCTATGCATGTTTTGTGTGCCTGTCAAAAGATACATGTATATCTTCTAATTTACTGTTTTGAAAGTGAAAATCTTGCAGTCAGCCCCAGACCAGTGTTCATTCCAATCATATATAAACAAAAAGAAACAAATGATTATATATATATATATATATAAAACCATTTTGGTTCTTGTAAATTCTCTGGGATAGTCCATTATGAGAGACGGGGTGGGGTACTTATTTTTCATAAATGGGATAATCTAATGACTCTTCACCCAGTTAGATGACTGTTAAAAAAAACAACAGAAAACTAACAACAACAAAAACAATTGGTTCATCTATGTTGCAGATATGTGAAATCACCTAATGGCCAACTATCCCGCCACTCCCACATTTAATAAGCAATAAACCAATTCTGACAGGTGTCAGTTAAAAGGGAGAAAAGAAAATTCAGAAGAAAAGTCCGATGATCAAGTTGGATTTAATTGATTCCAGCTTAGTCATTTTTCCAGTTAACAGGATTATTAAAGGCAATATATTTAACTTTTGAACTTTGATCTTTGGCCTTGAGGTGCTTGGATTTTTATTTTTGCAAAGAAATAGATTATGAAAAATAAAGCAAATGGTGTGGCTCATCTGGTAAAAAGTTATTGGTTTTTTTGAAGGGCCATGTTGAAAATGTGGCTGGCTCAGTTTCTAGAGATGGCCGTTGTAGAGCTTGGACACCCAGAGTGAGTTTTTGAATTGTGTATTTGTAAAATTTCCAAGGGCTGTAAATATCTACTTGAAGGGGAGAATAAAGAAAAAAATTATAATCATCCTTGTTTTTTTTCGTTTTCGTGTGTGTGTGTTTTATGATTGCTTTTGTAGTTATATATGCTAGGGACTGCCAAAAAAAAAAGCGATACCTAAGGTTTGAAATGAATTTTTAAAATGAAAAATATTTCTTGAAGCTGTCATTTTAGTTTTAATTTCAAGCTAATAGATTAAATTTAAAATTTCCAATATGCAAAAACTTAGCTGTATTTCAAAACTAATTTAAATTGACTGGAATGATTTTTTTTCTTTTTTATAATATCACTGATTAGCAAGCTTTTTTAGTCATCTTTCCTTGCAGTGTAAATCTCTTTATTAAAAAAGAATATACTTTTCTGAAACTTTATTTGAGGAATATTAGCTAATTTAAAGTATAATTAATCTGATTGGAGATAAATATTGTTTAAGTTTCAAATATCACAGAAATGCATGTTTTAACCCAACAGTAGCTGTGTTTATAACCATGTCAATGCAGCTATTGTCAATGACAGATCTAATGTTGTTCTACAGAGACTTTATCTGTAAGACACAATTGAAGAAAATGATGTGAGTGCCATTTTTTTTTTTTTTTTTTAAGTACTTGGTAATCTTAAAAATTTAGAAAAATATTCTCCATGATCTAATGCATTGAATTTTAGAAATTTTGGCTTTAAATTTATTATAGTTATTGCTCTTATTTTCAGATAATGTTGTGTATGGTCATCCTTACTTACAAAAATTGGCAAGTTTATACACATGCAAAAAAAAAAAAAAAATTCTTTTAAAAATATTGGTGTTTGATTTGCATTAAGCTTTTCCATTTATGACTAGTAAATATAGTTTTCACTTAATATCTAAAAGGTTGAAATTAATACAGAATTTTAAGATTTGAAACTTAATGAATTTTTCTAATTAAAAAAAAAAAAAAAAATTTTTGTAAAAGTTCGTTATTCATTACAAATATTTTTTTCTTAAGACAATAGTGTCCTTAATATGTATTATTTATAAAAGCAATTTAAGGCTTTTTCTAATTATAATTTTCTATAATAATGTCAGTTTAATTGCATTTTTTATTTTATGATTCAGAGCAGATTTTCAGTAAATGGTGTTTGACAAAATCAAATTGATGACTTAAATTCTCAAGGAGTTTTGTTTTAAACTAATATAAATATTAAGAGGCTGGAATTTTAATTTCTCAAAATTTCATAAAAGTAAGTGTGTGTGTGTGTGGGGGGTAAGATACACACACACACATATATATATATATATATATATATATATATATATATATATATATATATAAGAGAGAGATGCTTGCACAACCAAAGTCCCATTCTAAGACATAATGGCAACATTTACACCCAAATATGGTGTTAATATGGGAAATCTGCTTGTCCTGTGCTTCTCCAATTATTACATGTCGCATGTAGAAAACAATATTTAAACAGGACAGTAAACCTAAAACATATGTCTGCTATGTAAACAATATTTTTATTTTAGCAAATAACACAAAAGAAATCGATACTCTCAAAGCCACATTTGAAAACAAAAAGAAAAATTGTCTCTTAGCTTTACTTAGTCAAAATAAACTCCCATTATTAGATGTTCCTGTAGAATACAGTAACAAAACTTACCACCTCATTTTATGACAAACTGACTAGCAGAAACTCTTGTCATAACTTTAAGAGTGAATGTCCACTCAGATACAAAATCTTGATAAAAAACTTCCTAAAAAGAGCACACCAGAATTTATCCTCGTGTCTACTCTTCCTTAAAGAACTCAACAATGCAAAACAAACACTAGTTAACAATGGCTTTTCTAACCACCAAAGTAAATAATAATAGTGAACACAGTGAAAAGTAACATAAATATTTGTCTACAAAAACCAAAATGCATATCAACTAGAAACAATGAATCTTCACTTAGAAATATCATAAAGAAATACACTACCCCAATTGATCTGAACAAAAAAATGAAATTAATTATCTACTACAAAGAATATAAAACAGCTAATCTTAGCCTCAAAAATAACAACGCATTAGTAAAATGAAAAATACTATGAATGAGTATTATTTAGGAGTTCAATAAAAAAGAAAAAGCAAACACTCGATAATATTAACTACGAATATGACCACAATATGCTGTGTTCAGAAAATAAAACATACCTATAACTCTAGAAGCGCGTGCACACACACACAACCCATAGTTAAAAGGAAAAATAAAATCCTCCTTGATAAGAGTTAAAACAGTTTATACACACTGTGTCCAGAAAAGAAAACTCGGTCGAACACATGAAAAATGAAATGAAAAAGCTTAATCGTAGTGCCCTGTCTGTCGTCTTTAATGAAACATGTACAAATGAAGGATTGCTGCCTAAATACACTATATATATATATATATATATATATATATATATATATATATTTTTACCAAGATTTTCTAAAAAAAAAAAAAAAAAAAAAAATCCATTTGTGAATAAGTCCTGAAAATTTAATTAAAATTTGACAATTATCTGATTTTTGCAAGAATGTGTTTTTACCACAAAATAGAAACTAAATTTCCCATACTAATCTTTGGCCCAATGCTGACTCGAGAAAAACCAAAATTTTAACCCACATTTTGAATATG